CTACAAACAAAACCAAACCTACAACACAGACCTCAAGAGTTTCAACAGCAGACCACAAGAGCTACAACACAGACCTACAAGGCTACAACACAGACCTACAACAGTAGACCAAAAAGAGCACAACAGCAACCTGCAAGAGAAAAAAAACGCAGACCTAAAAAGGAAACCCAAAAGCAACCTCAAGAGCAACAAACCAGCCTGCAAGAGCTACAACGCAACCTGCAAGAGCTACAACAGAAACCACAAGGCCACAACACAACCCAAAGCTACAACAGCAGACCTACAAAGCTACAACGAAAGCCCTACAAGAGCAACAACGCAGCCCTAAAAGGGCAACAACAGCAACCTCCGAGCAACCGCAACCTACAAAGCAACAACAGCAGACCTAGAGCTACAAAGCAGACCTACAAGAGCTACAACAGCAGACCTACAAGAGCTACCAAAGCAGACCTAGAGCAACAACAGCAGACCTACAAGAGCTACAACAGCAGACCTAGAGCAAGAACAGCAGACCTAGAGCAACAACAGCAGACCTAGAGCTACAACAGCAGACCTACAAGAGCTACAACAGCAGACCTAGAGCAACAACAGCAGACCTACAAGAGCTACAACAGCAGACCTAGAGCAACAACAGCAGACCTACAAGAGCTACAACAGCAGACCTACAAGAGCTACAACAGCAGACCTACAAGAGCTACAACAGCAGACCTGCAAAAGCTACAACAGCAGACCTGCAAGAGCTACAACAGCAGACCTACAAAGCTACAACAGCAAGACCAACAAGAGCTACAACAGCAGACCTACAAGAGCTACAACAGCAGACCTACAAGAGCTACAACAGCAGACCTGCAAGAGCTACAACAGCAGACCTACAAGAGCTACAACAGCAGACCTACAAGAGCTACAACAGCAGACCTTCAAGAGCTACAACAGCAGACCTTCAAGAGCTACAACAGCAGACCTTCAAGAGCAACAACAGCAGACCTTCAAGAGCTACAACAGCAGACCTACAAGAGCTACAACAGCAGACCTGCAAGAGCTACAACAGCAGACCTACAAGAGCTACAACAGCAGACCTACAAGAGCTACAACAGCAGACCTACAAGAGCTACAACAGCAGACCTAGAGCAACAACAGCAGACCTACAAGAGCTACAACAACAGACCTAGAGCAACAACAGCAGACCTACAAGAGCTACAACAGCAGACCTAGAGCAACAACAGCAGACCTAGAGCAACAACAGCAGACCTACAAGAGCTACAACAGCAGACCTAGAGCAACAACAGCAGACCTACAAGAGCTACAACAGCAGACCTAGAGCAACAATAGCAGACCTACAAGAGCTACAACAGCAGACCTAGAGCAACAACAGCAGACCTACAAGAGCTACAACAGCAGACCTAGAGCAACAACAGCAGACCTACAAGAGCTACAACAGCAGACCTAGAGCAACAACAGCAGACCTACAAGAGCTACAACAGCTGACCTAGAGCAACAACAGCAGACCTACAAGAGCTACAACAGCAGACCTACAAGAGCTACAACAGCAGACCTAGAGCAACAACAGCAGACCTACAAGAGCTACAATAGCAGACCTAGAGCAACAAGTCTATAAAAGAGATTCTGTATTAGGCATTATGTACGTAACACACAAATATCTTTTACAGTGATCTTGAGGAGACACCTTATAGGTACATAAAGTACACTGATATAACAAGAGGATAACCCACTAGAGTCAACATGGGATTATGTGACAGCCTTCAACACAGAGGGAATAGTAGGCAATCAGGACCCCAGTGGAAATAAAGTCACTTTAGTAAGTTTATTCAGGTACAGGTACACAAATACTGTTACATAAATTATCATACATAGCAGCATGTGTAGATTACCCAGGATAACCCAAAAAAGTCAGTGACTTGTGTCTGACTTTTTTTTGGGTTATCCTGGGTATTTTATACTCGCTGCTGTGCATGATAATTGTACTGATGGGGACCTGTACCTAAATTAACTTAGTAATCCATTGAATCGAGAGAATAAATCCAATTCCTTCGATCAGGAGCTCCTCATCAATCAAGCAGTGACTTAACAGTACATATTTCCATTCTGATACTTAGGTACTTCCCCAGGATATGACAACACTCAACTAAGTAACAGGTACTTATTTACAGCTAATTATTATTATTATAATCATATCCAAGCCCTTAACCTCATATATTTAGTAAGTGAACATGAGCAGCAGGCAATAAGACACCCAGCCGCGCCCAGGATCGAACCCGGGTAGTTTTGGTTGCGAGCTGAACGCAGTAACAGTGAGCAGGAGGCTTATTACAGCAGCAGCAGACCTGCTGCTGTAGCAGGAGGGGTAGTAGTAGTGTTTTAGCAGCAGAAAGCCTACATCAGCAGCCGTAGCAGCAGGTGATGGGTGGGTCACCCTTTGTCCCGTCACACCTCACGCCCACGCCCACACACACACCCCATTTACCCTTCCTACCCACCTTGTCATGCACTAACAGGACCACTACAGCAGACTACACCATCACAGCAGACACTACAGCCGCTGTAAAGCTGTAATTACTGGACATTAAGTGCGGTAGTTCACCCTTAGCCTCGCCCGGCTAGGGGTGAAACTCTCCCCCTTAAAAGCTAAACCTTTGTCAAGGGCAGGAGACACACCCACTGTTATACCTGGTCTATGGGCATGCCCAGGCCATGGGCCAGGAACTGGAACCTGCGAGAACCCATGTAGAATTGTTCCCAGTGGGGGGAAGCGTCAGCAGCCATTGTAAGAGGAGGCAGCAGCCTCAAGAGTGAGACACAGAGTGAGAGACACAGGTCTGCTGGAGCTGACACTCCAGTCTATACTGAATCACACTCACACACCCTGCCAGCCAGCCAGCCAGCCAGTCAGCCAGCCAGCCTGTCAGCCAGCCAGCCTGTCAGCCAGCCAGCCAGCCAGCCAGCC